GCAGGTTTCAAACCATTACAAAAAGTTTGAGTGAACCTTTGGCACCCACCTCCTCCAGCACTGACACCTCATCAGAAATGTATCATGAAACAAACCTGGATTTCTGCAGTTCACACTGAAACAAAACACCAAAATAGGCCCAAAAAACAACTGGCTGAATCCTGTGCAGTTCCCTCAGAAGATCTTCTGACTTCTTGACGTGTCCATCACGGATCCAGGCAGATGGGAAAGAAATTAATACCTGATACTAGGGGAGACTATAAGACTGTTCCACCACTGCCTTCCCACCCCACTGCCTTTGGCAAGACATCTGACCCAATATTTGTCCTCCTCTTCCCAAACAAAGATCAATCTCTCCCTAGAAGTGCTGGTTCCTCTGAGCTGGGTAGTGAGGAAGCATCATTTCCTTTTCCCATATTTCCAAGATACAGAAAATTAGTAGTTTAGACCTAGATAATTAACTTTGTGATAACTGAGGAGGACTTCACCTTATGAGATGCATCAGATTCTGCATCTCCTGATGTCTTCAGACCAAAATTGGAATAAATGGGTGTTTTACCCTAACACAGAAGCAATTTGGCTTGAAATAGAGGTAACTAGATAATATTCCATCTTTAGACAACCCTCTAAAAACTCCACAAATCCATCAAAACAGTTGGTCTCTGAAGATCTAAAGTGTAACATGCAGTTCACCAAGCCTGGAGCAGAGAACAGGCAATTTTAATAACTTTTACTACAGCTACAATTGTTTATGGCTTAAATACTTCAAAGTCTACTTGGGCTGGTGCTTCCCAGAAGTAATTGTGATGTTACCTCTGGGATCAATTCCCTTTGGCATTTAGAATGAGTTCTAGGGTCCCAAAAGGGCAATTTTGAAAAGTGATTTCCATTCTTCCACCTCTTTTGCTGTCCCTTTGAAGGAGTTCAATCTTTGTGAAGGTCCAAGCAGCTCCACCTGCAAACATCAAACGTTTCTTCAGGCTGGGGATGTTGTCTGTGATTTTATTCTGTGTGTTCTGGTCTCAGTATTCCCTTACTGGAGGAGTTTGGACCTTCTTGCAGATTCAGCATTTTCAGGTACAGAAAAAAAACCTGTTCTTTTAATTTTACAGCTCCTGGACAGAGCTGGGTCAGGAGGATTTGGAGTTATTTTGCTCTAGATGAGAACTCACACAGGTCTAAGGAACGTTTGTCCCTGCTGCCAGACAGGCCATGATAAGATGGGTGCTCTGAGAAACCTCCTTCAACCCTGAGCAAAGTCCTTATTTTTGCCTATAAAACCAGAACTACTCATCCTTCCAATTGCTTTGGAATCAAAAGATGTGAAGTTCAGAGCTTGTGCTGTCTGATGAGGTCAGCAATACGAGGAAAGGAGTTTCAGAAGCAGGTAAGAGGTCCAGGGGCACAGATCTCAAAAGCCCATGGAACTTCTCCTGAACCACTTGGTCTTGAATACCCCAAAGCATTTAGAAAACTAAATCCCATTTAGAAAATCCCATTCTAGCTGTTTATAGGATTTCTAGAGTGATTTCTTTCTCCTGGAGGCTGAAAGTTTTCAGCTCCTGGAGGATGTTTTTTGATGTGGTAAGATAGTCATCAAAAACACGACCACAACTGGTTTAGTGAAGGCAGAGTTTAATTGTTCTTTGCCTAGTTATGTAAATTAGAAATGCCTGGATGGAACCAGAAGTTGCATGCAGGTGTTTATGTTGGCACAGGCTTTAAAATATTCGTGCATGTATGTGCTTAAATGAAAGGTGGCTGCTGAGTTCTCCACCCACCTTCAGAAAGATCCTGAATTTCATATGGTTCAGGTTCCTTTAAAATGTTTGTGCATGTATGTGCTTAAATGAAGAGAAAGGTGGCTGCTGAGTTCTCCACCCACCTTCAGAAAGATCCTGAATTTCATATGGTTCAGGTTCTTAGAGCTGACATCATAAATGATCGAGTCCACCTAGTCTAGAAGTTGAATAAGGATTGAATAAGAATTGAAGGGTTAAAGAAGAATTGAATTAATCTCTTTGAACATCAGGGGTCAGACCCAGCTCGCTGAAGTTTAGGTATGAGCTGATGGCCACGTTTGCAGAGATGCCAGTGAAAAGCTTGGGGATCCAGTTGATACAAGTCTTCTGCAGCTCTTCTCTCATGTGGGCTTGTCCCAATACTCTCCCTCGACTGCATCCTTGCTAATTCAGGTTGTGAGAATCTGCTTGGTCTTGGAAGCACAGGATTCAGTTTCAGGTTAAGATGCCTACGAACATTTGTATGTAAGTTACACATCTATATTTCTGTCATGAGTGAGGGATGGACCAGGTGCCGAGGTCCAGAAAGCTACTCAGGTTCTCAGGAACAGCTGAGAAGTTGAGGTAAAGTTATCACCTACTAGCTGGTCATCTGGATTGCCCTTTAGAGTCCATTGACTGTATCAACCAGGCATCCAAAGAATTTGTCCAGCTGGAGTAGTCTGGTACCACTTGAGATCTCCTCGTGTGACCTGTCATTTGTCCAGTTTTCATTCCAGAAGAGCCTAAACCCTCCAAAATGCCTCCATCAAACGTGACAGCCGCCTTCAGATGTCTCACATCCCCTACAGTGGATCAAGTGACATTCTTAATCGTGCTTTTGCCATGAAAGGTTGGACCAGATGATCCTTCAGGTCCCTTCCAAGCTGGTATTCTGTGTTTCTCTGATTTATGAGTGTCTTCCACAGCAGTATTAATGTTGGCATTCTGCTCCTCTCCTTTTGCTGCCTGCAGACTCAGGATCCAGCAGCTGTGACCATATACTGCTTGAAAATATAGCAAATATCCAGTAAAGCCTTAAAACATCTTCAAAATACAGCATAAAGACAGATGAGGAGCTACAATGAGGAGACTGCCATCACTAGATCCTAGATACTGAAGTGGTTGGACATGTTTCCTTCATTAGGTGTGGTCTGTGTGCTCAATTTTGGCTTTATTGCTGGAGAAGGATACAGGTCTATGGATATTTGACCAAAAGAATAGTTTTTTCATAATTTGAGTGTCTAAAGGACTGTTTCACTCCAGAAGTCCATCCCACGTTAACAGAGGATATTGAGGACTGGGATTTTAACACAATCTTTTGTTTGAACATTGAATTTTGATTTTCTAGAGAGGATAATAACACTGTTGGGCATTAAAATGTGCATCAATTAGGCATTGTTCTGTTAAATTATTCTATTTAATAATCTAAATTATTATAACACATTTTTTCTGTGTGTTTAGACCACAACCAGCATGATCAGGGGTTTAGCTAAATGTACTATGAGAAAATTCTCAACTTTTCCTCATTTATCTGGTTACCAGAGTAGATAATATACAATGGTTGCACGTGGTGCCTGGTCCATGATTTTCTGACAGATACATGCCAGAATCTTGCCAGAGATTCGAGTTGACTTTGTCACCATCTCTTATCTTGACAGCTAAGCAATGGCGAGGCAAAACCAAAGCGTCGTGACAGAATTCATCCTTCAAGGCCTCTCCTCCCAGCTGAGGACACAGACTGTTCTTTTCATGGTGTTCCTGGTGTTTTATCTGCTCACAATGGTTGGGAACATCCTGATCATGGCCTTGATCAGAGCTGACTGCCACTTGCAGTCGCCCATGTACTTTTTCCTCGCCAACCTGTCCTTGGTAGACATCTGCTACATCTCCAGCTACGTCCCCCAGATGCTGGTGAACCTCTTGACCAAGAAGAGGACCATCTCCTTCTTTCGGTGTGCTGCTCAGATGTATTTCTCTCTGGCTTTTGGCATTACAGAGTGTGTCCTGCTGGGGGCCATGGCCTACGATCGATACGTGGCGATATGTCGCCCCTTGCTCTACGCCACCATCATGAACAGGAAGCTTTGCATGCACATGGTGGTGGCTTCCTGGGCCAGCAGCCTGCTGAGCTCCACGGTCATCAGCAGCCTCACCTGGCAGCTGCCCTTCTGCCAACACAACCTCTTGAAGCATTACTACTGCGAAGTGCAAGCGGTGCTGGCCTTGGCCTGCGCTGACACCACCCTCACAAAGCTGGTCATCTTCATCTTCAGCATCCTCATCCTCTTCATCCCCTTTCTCCTCATCATCACCTCCTACGCCCGTATCCTCTCGGCCATCTTGAAGATCCCATCTGCACGTGGGCAGCACAAAGCCCTCTCCACCTGTGGGTCCCACCTGATGGTGGTGACCATCTACTATGGGACAGGCATCTGCATATACATGAACCCTTCATCGAGGCCTCCACAGGACAGGGACAAAGTGGTCGCACTGTTTTACACCGTCGTAGCCCCCATGCTGAACCCCCTCATCTACAGCCTCAGGAACGAGGAGATGAAGCGTGCCCTGAGGAGGGCAATGAAAAGACCCAAATCCTTGTTTATTTAAAGGCTCTGCAGGGATTTGGAGTGTTGAGTTTAGTTCTGAGTTGAAGCAAAACTCAACTGTGATGATTTCTCTACCTGCAAGTGCCCTAGACTTATTTTTATGGAGACTGAGATGAAATTGTAAATTCAACACCACCTAAATAAAAGAGATCTTGCACATAAATAACTTTCTAAATAACATTTGGGATGTGGCCTAAAACCCAGAGGCTAAATAAAGACAATGTGACTTCAACCTGCCTCACTCTGGGAATTCATTTAAATTCGAAGTGGACAATGCCAATGGCGTGAGGGCAGGAAAGAAAAGAAAAAGAAATATGATAAAAATGTTCAAGAGCTGTGAAAAAAATTAAGTGCTTTATGTAAAGCTTAAAACACATTTTCCTTCTGAAAGGTTCATAATTCATTTCAGTGTGTACAAACATCTCAGTTCTGTTCCTCCTGTGATGTCTCTTCAGACCTGAAAGTTTCTCAGTGTCTGTTGTGTTGGTTGGCAAACAAACCCACCAGCTTCTCCAGCAGAGGCTGCAGTTGATGGCAACTAATACACATCCCCTTGCCCCAGGAGCATTTTCTCAGTCCTGTTGTTATAACCCGCTTTGTTTCTTCTGTAACCAAGTTCTGCCTCTCTTAACTCCTCCTGCATTTCAGTCTGACTCATAGAATCATTCTGGTTGGAAGAGACCTTCAAGATCATTGAGTCCAACCATTCCCCCAGCACTGCCAGGTCACCACTTGTCCTCATGGGCCAAGATCCTTTGATTTTGCTGATGTGGGCAGCTGACAATGGATTATTTTCTTCCCTGATTTGAGTTGGGTATAACCATAAATATCAGAGAAAGGGTTTCTTTCTGTAACTCAAAGACAGATCCTTAGGTTTGAAGTACCCCAGGGAAGATGAAGAGTATTTGAGACCTCCTGAACTTTCTAACAATTAAAATGACCTTTCTAAGGATGTTCTTTGTACTCACATTCATGCAATGAGGGTGGTTTTGCTCCCCACCTACTGGTTTTCTCAGTCATGGACAACTGGACATCCTCCTTTCTGTGGTATGGATTTATTTTGTTACTCAGTGACATTATAGCCAAAAAGTGGATGCTGTTGGATGCCACTGTAGTTCCAAATTCATATCTGAATCCCCCACTGACCACAGAGGCAGAACACCCCTCCACAGACTCATCAGCTTTCTTTATATAGCCATATTTTTAGAGAAACCCACAGAAAGTCCTTTCCTAGTGGACTTCAAAGTCCAAATAAACCAACACTTGAAAAGAAAGCAAGAACAAAACCCTACGACATCCAAGACATACAGTCAAAGCAGACAGAGCATGTTTCAAGCCACAATCTTGCCTTTCCCTTTTAATTTTGTGGTCCAAACTGTTCTACTCTAAGAAATATCCTCCAGCCTTGTCCCCTTTCCCTTCTCTCAAACAGTCATCACTAGAAGAAGCACCTGAGGGAGGTATCAGGACAATTCAGTCAAGTGTATGGGAAGTGATAAGAAGGTTGCAGTGTGGAAAATGCAATAAATGAATAAAGACCACACATTAGCCAGCATCCTGCACACCAGGAGTGTGCTTGCACCCACCCCACAAAGGGAAGGACCATGCTAGGTGATAGTTTCAGCCCTGGCTCTTTACACTGCTGTCAAACACCAACATCTGGAGGTGGCATTCATGGGTCTGAGCCCAAAAACCCACCCCAAAGAGACAGGTCTGGGCTTTTCTGTAGCTCCCATGGCCCCAGCTGTGGTTCTTGCCTCCCTAGCAAGGGCAGGGGAAGGACAAAGATGATTTAGTGTCCCATCTTCAACCACTCCCCTACTCTTATGCCATGTAAGGTATAAAAGATAGGAGGACAAACTCATTGCTTGGGTTTTTTGGGCAGATGGCTGTCCCCAGTGGGAAGATCACGTGCCAGATGTCTGCCCCTACTGCTGTAGGCCACCTTTGAGGGTGGCCAGGCATCTGGCACAGGTCCTTGCTGGGAAAGGAGCTGTTGGCACTTGGGTGAACGACTCGTTCTTCAGAGTCCCAGCACAGACCCACGACACTGGCAGATACCCCTGGTGCTCAGAACCATCCCAGACCACAACCCTCCAGCCACCTACCTGGACCATGAGTTAACCCTGAATTATGTCAACTGAGCAAGCCCAGAATCGAGCTTGGACCTGGTGGGCTATGCACTGGAGAAGTCTGCATCTCCTGCAGCGTGTCTTGAGACAATGGAAGTGAGCCCTTGGACAGATGAAGCCTTTGGTGGGTAAATACAAAGATATTCAGTGCAGAGGAAGCCAGAAAAGGGGAGGCATAGCCAGAGCCAGACACCAGCCTTTTCCTAGACCAACCCAGGCTCCCACCACACCTAAAGGACTCTTAAAATATTCTTCTCATGAGCAAAAGACACAGAAGATGGGGCAAAGATAAAGCATCTGATAAGCAAAGGCAAACAAATGCATGGGAACTGTACATGGAGGTAGAGGAAGAGGTTTCTTCACCTTTAACCAGACTAGGAAGCCCTGTCTAGCAGTAGGTGGAGGCCATGGTCATAGCATGTCCCCCTGGAAGCCTCTCAGCAGACTCCAGCTAAGTCATTAAATCTATTTCCATCACAAGCTGAGCTTCTCCCCTTCCCAAAACAAGGAACTCTCCTGGGGACCAGCCATCCAAGAGTCATCAGCTTAACAAGCCCTTCTGGGCACCAAGAAGAAGCCTCTAATGATCTTGAAACCTTCTTAGAAAGTTCATAGTAAAACTACCTCACTCTTCCTAACAAGCCCCCGGGGACAACTTCACAGACACTGAGAAGGAAACTTTCCTCTTTGTTAAAGCCCATGAACACTTCTGACACAGTTTAGTTTGTCACAACTGCTCCAAACCCTCAAGTCAATGACCCTGGTCATTGGCATGCACCCTTCCAGTCCTCCACTGGGTACAGAAGTTACCCCTGGAGTCTGAAGGATGACAGATCCGTGCATCACACCACCAGCAGCTGAGAGAGCAGCTGCCCCAGCCAATAACTTCTGGTTGGCAGAAGAACCAAACTCTTCTCCATGGTGCCCAGTGAGAAGACAAACTGAAATACAGGGAAATCCATTTAAACAGAAGTAGCTTTGTTCCCATGAAGGTGACCAAGCACTGAAAACCCAGAAAGATTGTAGAGTTTCTATCCTTAAAGATACTCAAAGTAGACACATGGCTTGGCAGCCTCTTTAGTTGACCTGTCTTTGAGTAGATGGTCATCTCCAGAGGTCCCGTCAAACTTCCACCATCCTGTGAGTCTGTGTGAAGATTGTCACCATCTCTGTCTTATGGATTTACCTTCTTTTACACACTGTCCTCGTGATTATTTCTACAGCTCCCTGAAAGGAGCCATTCTCTTCTCACAAGTGGTAGGACAAGAGGAAATGGCCTCAAGTTGCACCAGGAGAGGTTTACATAAGGAACAACAACTTTCCCTTCACTGAAAGGGTTGTCAAGCCCTGGACCAGGCTGCCCAGGGAAGGGGTTGAATCACCACCCCCAGATTTGTTTGGAAGCTTTGTAGATGTGGTGCTGAGGGACATGGATCAGTGGACTTGGTAGAGTTCAGTTAATGGTTGGACTTGATGATCTTAAAAGGTCTTTTCCAACCTAAACAATTCCATGATTATTCCATGGGAGGTAAAGTAGCTGGGCAAGGAGTTTTTACTAGAGACAAGACAGATGGAACTGTTCATGGGCACAATCTAAGAGCAGACTTTGTTTTTCAGCTGCACCATACGAGGTGTCAAATAGTTTTGAAGGCAAGTCTGAGTGACCTACATGAACCTTCTCCTTAGAGAGATAAAAGGAAAATAATATAACATAAGACTGCCTTTCAAAAGTCCAATTTTCCTCCTGATAAAAGTTCTCAGGGAATGCTTCACCTCCTGGTTTCTGAGGCTGCAAATCATGGGGTTCAGCACAGGGACTACAATGGTGTAGAAGATGGCTGTGGTTTTCTTGCTCTCCAATGAGTTTGATGAGCTGGGTTGCCTGTGATTAAGAGCAAGATACAGGTAGAAAATGCCTGCAGCAGAGCCCATCCTGCCTATGGCCACCACAATGCAGCTGGAGGATGGTGGCCATCACCTTAAAACCTATAAACACCAACACTGAACCCTCATTGAGGCACCTGGTGGTGGAGGCCACCACAAAGAGTGGTTGCCCATCCCAGTAGTAGCTGTTGATGACCAAGGGACCACAGAAAGAGAGCTGGAGCAGGGCACTTGTGTTCACTATGGCATTCAGCAGCCCTACAAGGTAGGACCCAGCAACCAGGCTCTTGCAGAGGCCAGGAGACATGACAACCTCACAGAGCAGGGGTTTGGAGATGGCCACATGGCAGCCATAGCAGCCAGCAGGAGAACCTCAGCTGTAGCAAAACCAGCACAGAAATAAAGCTGCACCCAGCAAAAGAAATGACTTTGGGGTTTGTTGGAAGGTCCAGCAGCATTTTGGGGCTGATGGTGGAGGAGCAGCAAATGGCTAAGAAGAAGTTACTGAGGAACAAGTACATGGGGGTGTGAGGCCAGGGGCTGACCCTGGTCAGGGTGATGAGGCCAAGGTCTCCTGCTAACATCAGCAGGGAGGCTTTAGGTGACCCCATGAGCAGTGACATCAAGGAAGGACAAAACTGGCTCCTGCTTTTTGTCCAAATATTTGACAGAAAATCACAGCCTCTAAGTCACACAGATGCCCAAGGAACTCATCTGTTAAGCTCACCTGTATCTGCTGCTCTTTGGTTTTGCTGAATGATGGCTGTGGCAGTAGAAAACTAGTAATTAAGGACAAATTAAAGATTAAAGACAAAGACAACAAAAAAAGTCCAAGAAATAAAGACAGAAGGCTGCAAACTGCTATGGAAGAGAGGCTGAAGGGGAAAATGCATTCAAGTTTTGAGGACATAAAGGGACCTGAAGAAAGAGAGGGAATAATTAAGACTTTGCTGTTTGGGAAGAGAAGAAATAGCTGCTAAGCTGC